AATAAATTATGTATCCAGGAACATCGGCTAATGCCTGTAGTCACAACAAGGTCAGTGTCTTCGTAGGGGTTTCCATTGCTGTGATGAAACACCATAACCAAAAGCAAGGAAGGGTTTGTTTGTCTTACACTTCCATATCATAGTCCACCCTTGAAGGAAGCCAGGACAGGACAGGAACTCCAACAGGGCCAGGACCTGGATGCAGCTGCTGCAGAGGCCACAGAGGGGTGCTGCTTACAGGTCTGCTGATCGTGGCTCGCTCAGCCTGCCTTCTTATAGAACACAGGACCCCCTGTCCAGGGATGGCACCACCCATCATGGGCTTGGCCCTCCCCAAACGCTAAGAAAGTGTTCTACACCGCTGGGCAGAGTGGCAGATGCCTTTACTCCCAGAGTACAAAGGTTCAATCTTGGCATCCACATAGTGGCTGTGTGACTCCAGTCCATTGCTCTCTTCTGACCTCAGAAGGCACTGCACACACACGGCGCATGCCCACACACGCGCGCGCGCGCGCGCACACACACACACACACACACACACACACACACACACACACACGGCAAAATGCCCCCTAATAAAAATAATAAAAGTAAATTAAATTTAAAAAAAAAGAGAGCAGTTACTGAAATCCACTATTAAGGTAATGCCTTTGATTGATGAACAGACCTTATAATTATGAGAAAATTAAGATTTTTGAGTTCCACGCACAGTAAATATATATTCCATCACTGTAAGAAAAAAAATCTAGCTTCCTGGTAAGGCATATCAAAGTGTTTTGAAGTAATTCGTGATTCACTAATTCTTGGTTAAGTGTTCACTCTGTTTATTATTCATATTGCTGCCTGAGTCTGTATTAAACATTTATAGCCACTATTTAATTTGCCTCTTGCTAATAAAATATTGTGTTAAACTTGTAATTAGGGTTTATGGGGAACTGAGGCTTATCATCCCATGTGCTAGTGATTTCCTTAGAATATTAAAAGCAAGGGAGTGAGGATGATGGAAAAGGGACAAGAAAACATTCATTTTGTGTCTTTTTATTTACCTATTTTTTTTGTGTGCCATATATGTATGTTCATGCACACACAAGTATGTGTGCTTGAGTGTGTGTTTGTGTGTAGGCTAGAGTCACTCCCCACCTTATTTTGGGGGGATGGGGCTTTATCTACCTCTGCCTCCCCAGCACTGAGGTTATAGGCCTGTGTAACTATGCCTGGCTCTTTTTAGTTGGGTACTGAAGATTTGAACTCAAGTCCTCATTCTTGCTTCGTGGGCAATTTATCACCTGAGTCATCTCCCCAGCTCACAAATATTTAATACATTTGGGCCAACAAGATGGTAAAGGGGGCTTGCCTTACAAATCTAACAACCCAAGTTTGATCCCAGGATTCCACAGTGGAAGGAAACGATTGACTCTTGAAAGTTGTCCTTTCACCCGAACAAACGCACGCGTATCACGCATATGTATACAAAATAATAGAGAAAACTTAACGTAGAATTAAAAATTCACTTTAAAAACTGTATTTACATGTCTGTTTGACGTGTGTGGTAGGTGGGCCTGCATGTGTGCATGTACTTGATGTCAGGGGACAAGTTTCAGGAGTAGATTCCACTCCGTCCTTCTGGTATGGGGGTCTCTGGAATTGATCGAAGATCATCGTTTTGGGGATAAGTGCCTTGACCCTCTGAGCCATGTCGCTAGTCAAATGTGTAGTGTTCCAGTGCATTAGGGACATCACGTTGTACTTCCAATAACACTGTGTGTTTCCCTAACGTTCATTGTTTTCCAATGGAAGCCCTATCCCCATTTGCTGATTTCCTGACCTTCCCTCCCTCCATTCCAGCCCCCACCCCACGTGCTAGTGGACTAGGTCTCCACACATTTGTCTTGCTCTGGTTCTCCGTTCTTGTCCTTGTGCATCTGTGTCTCAGCTTGCAACACGTCCTCGAGGTTTATCTTTAACGTCACGTATGTTAGAATCTCATCACTTCACATTTTTATTACACTTATTTATTTAAGTTTGTGAGGGAGAGACTGTGTGTGGAGGCCACAGGACAAGCTTGTGCGTGTCAGTTCTCTATTTCTTCTACGTGGGTCTCGGGGGTGGAACTAAGGTGTTCAGAATTGGCTGCAAGCACCTTACTGCTGAGTTACCTTGTCAGCCCAGAATTTCATTCCTTTTAAAGGCAGAATAATATTCTTGCATGTCCATGCACCATATTTTCTCTATATATATATACTATTTGGTGTAAGGGGACTATTGGTAAGTGGAAGGGTGCATGGGCTGGAGTTGTCACTCAGCTAGAGCAATGGTACCCAGCAATGTACAAGTCCATGAGCGCGATCCTCAGCATAAAAAGGCTGCAAAACAGTGAATGCGGGCTCAAGTATAAAGGTGAATGCTTAGAAAAATAAGAGAAATCGCAGCAAACATTCAAAATATAGGTGGGATAAGCCATGTTACATGTCTGGGGTACTTGGTCGGGTCTTGCTCTCACAGCCATATTATTGCTGTCTCATGAAGAGAGCCTCTCTCATTTCTAGGGCAGACATGTAGATAAATTTAAAGGGGAGATGATGGTTTTTTCTCCTTTCAACCCTGTATGAAAAAAGTTGGCCAGGTGGTGGTGGTGCAAACCTTAAATCCCAGCACTCAGGAGGCAGAGGCAGGAGGATCACTATCCTGAAACAATGATTGTACTTGCCCCCAGGGACCAACAACCCTAACCAGCAGCAAGTAGGTAAAGAGAACTACGCCTCCTCTCCTCACTAACGTTCATTCTCTCCTATCTGGTGTTGGGGTGTTGGAAAGAATAAGGGGTGGAGAAGGGAGCTAGAGATATAAGAAACCCCAATATTATAAAATAGATAAAAACTATGACAACAGCGCTCTGTGTTTTAAGGCCAGCTTGATCTACAGAGAGAGTTCCAGGACAGCCAGGGTTACACTGGAAACCCTGTCTTGGAAAACAAAACATAACAACAACAAAAAGAAAGAAAGAAGGCAGGAAAGAAAGAATGAAAGAAAGAAAATTTACACAGTAACCTAGTGAACTCTTCATAACAAACGAAGCCCAGGACACACAAAGTTCTGGTTCTGTCCCCAGCACCACACACAACAAGATGAAGCATTCCAGATTACATACCAGATCACAAAACAGTGGATAAACACCTAAGTGAAAAAGTGAGGGACCAGTGAGATGGTCCTGGTGTGGAAGTCTTGCTAGGCAAGGCCCATGAAGTGAAGAGAACCTGTGCACAGCATTGTCTTCAAACCTCAGCACCTCACCTTGGTTTGCATTCACTCACACTCATTGACACACATGAGCACACACACTAACTCAAAATAAACTTAAAGTCTGCTTTTTAAAAACCATATTGCCAGGCTGGAGAGATAGCTCAGAGGTTAAGAGCACTGTCTGCTCTTCCAAAGGTCCTGAGTTTCAATTCCCAGCAACCACATGGCGGCACCTAACCATCTATAATGAGATCTGTTACATTCTTCTGGCCTTCGGGCATACGTGCAGACAGAACACTGTATACATAATAAATAAATAAATCTTAAAAAAAAAAAAAGTATTGCTGGGTGTGGTGGCACATGCCTTTGATCCAAGCTGAGCCAAGGGCAGAGGCAGAGGTGCATAGGCAGAGGGAGGGGCAGGAGCATGGGGCAGAGGTGCTGAAGTAGTAGAGGTGCAGAGGCTGAGACACCCTTAGGTGTATTCCAAGTGATCCAGGGTTACATAGATTTCCAGGTCAACCAGGGTGACACAGTGAGATATGGTTGAAAACAAGCCAACAAAGTATTAGGATTGAAGTAAAAAATTACTAATAGAAAAAAATTTTTGAACAGGATCTCTCTGTTACTAAGGCTAGTGTTTAACATGTGGGTTTGCAGAATTGCCAGGAAGCCTGCAGAAGCGTGCATAAGATCCTTTGGTGAGCAGGTGTGATAATGCACACTTTTAATCTCAGAGAAAGAGGTGGATTTTTGTGAGTTCAAGGCCAGCCTGGTCACAGAGTTCCAGAACATTCAGAAATACTTTATAGGGAGATCTGTGTGGTGTAGCTAACAGCTTAATTCAAGGCTCAGAACTGGTGGAACATGCTGACACTTCTGGCCACACCTTGTGCCTGCACCCTTGCTTGTAAATTGTATACCCATATTCCAAGTATTTAGGCGGCAGAGAATAAAGGTTTCTCAGTTCAAGACATGACTGTAACATATTTTCAAATGGTTCAATAAACATAACTTTGAAATGGTTTGTCAAAAATACAGGCAAACTGCTCGATGAAAACTGTTTCATCGAGCCAGGCAGAGGCCCAGTGGTGCACGCCTGTAATCTCAGCACCTGGGAGGCAGAGGCAGGTGGATCTCTGTGAGTTCAAGTCCAGGCTGGTCTACAAAACAGGTCCAAGTCAGCCAAGGGATATACAGAGAAACCCTGTCTCTGGAAAAAAAAAAAAAAAACAACATAAAAAAAAGAATTGTTCCATTTAGATAGTGAATATGCAGATATCCATCCATCCATCATTTATCTGTGTTTTTTTAAGACAGGGCTTCTCTGTGTAGCCTTGACTGTCCTGGAGCTGACTCCGCAGATCCGCCTGCCTCTGCCTCCTGAGCTCTGGGATTAAAGGCTTGCGCCACCACTGCCCGACTCTATCAAATTTTCACTGGCCATTAAAATTAGCATAAAAAGCTGGGCGCGGTGGAGCGCACCTTGAATTCCAGGAGTGAGGAGGCTGAGGCAGGCAGATCCCTGTGAGTTCGAGGTCTAAACAGAGGTGATTCCTGGTCTAGATAGAGAGTTCCAGACCAGTCTATATTACACACAGGGAGACTCCGTCTCAAAAAATAAATCGCACAATAAAATGCGGGAGGAAAGACACCACCCTAGTCCGGGCTGTGGTAGGCCCTCCCGCGCATGCTCAGGGGACCTGCGCGCTCGTCCCCGCCCCCTGGTGTACGCAAGCGCAGGACGCAGGCGCGCAGTCAGAAAACACGAGACTCAAGCCGAGGTACGCGGCGCGGGTCTGAGGTGTGGACCCGAGGAAGGATGGAGTCGCTGAAGGTGGAAAAGTTCGCGACCGCCGACCGGGGAAACGGGTTGCGCGCCGTGGCCCCCCTGCGCCCCGGGGAGCTTCTCTTCCGCTGCGACCCCTTGGCGTACACCGTGAGCAAGGGGAGTCGCGGGGTCGTCTGCGATCGCTGCCTCCTGGGGTACGTCCGGAGCCTGGGCTCGGGGCGCGGGGCGCTGCGGGGGGCGCCGGGCCTCGCGGGGTGCCCGCCGCACCCCAGGCTGCGGTGCAGAGGAAGGGGAGGCGTTGGGCAGTAGGTAATTTTGTTGGGGAACAAAACATCGTTACCCCGTGCGAGAAGCTCCGTCGCCTCCTCGGTGTGGAAGTCAGGAGTGGCAGGTTGCGTGCGTGAGTGTGTGTGTGTGCGCGCGTGTGTGCGTGTGTGGAGGAGCAGGGGGTGTGTACGCCAGGCTCAGAGCCGAGGGCCCACCCGGCCCGTCTTGAGAGAGGCGGGAGAAGCCCGGTGTTTGTGCCGTCCCTTGCTGGTCGTGATTCTGTGTGGCGTGGGCACCGGGAGAGGAACCAGGTGTCGTGAAGGAGCCGATCAGGTGAAGATTACGGTGCAACAAAAGAGACTAACACAGATGCAGACAGTGCGCAGGTTACGGAGGGGTCACGGCGTGCCTCGCCTGCTGGTGGCTGCGCGGACGAATTAAGTCACCACCTCCGCGTAGATGCAACAGTTCATTTGACGCTGTTTGGGAAGTCGGGAAGCACAGTGTCAGTGTACGCTGCCCCACCGTTTCCAGAGTCGTGTAACGGACGTGTGTAGTCGTAGGATTTGTATTCTCTCAACACATCCGGTTCCCACCGTGCACTGGGGAGCAGGGCTCCGTTTAGGTAGGTGATTTGTACCTGACGACTCTGCCAGACCCGTCTGTCTGTGGTTGGGGTGGGAAGAGGTGGGGGTAGTCCACCGTTACCATTCTTTCCTCTCATGCCCTCATCACCGAGACGGGGCTTCTCTGTGCATCCCTGGCTGCCGTGGAACTGGTTCCGTAGACCAGGCTGGCCTCGAACTCAGGGATCCACATACATGCCTCCGCCTCCTGAGTGCTGGGATTAAATAAAGTCTTGCACGGCTTCCACAGTATTCTTGTTTGGTTTATAACTGAGGACTTTGGTTTGCATTTTAAAGTTAGCGAGTCGTTATCTTAGCTGTTATTTTCCGAAGTAATAGCAGTGACATGCAGGCGTGCACATGATTTATTGAGAGAGCGGCTTGAAGTTTGTGTAGTTAAAGCAGTTCATTCCCTTCCAGACTTGGCCCCAAATGTCTTGCATCCCTTCTCACAGATCATTAGAGAAAGCAGGACTCTTCATTCCGTCTCTCTATAAAATCTCAACAGAAAACTCATACTTTTGAGTGTGTTCAGGATCTGAACTTAGATCTTCATGCTTTATAGTAACACCCTATCAGCCTTCTCCCTAGTTCTTTGAGGTGTGCCTCGCTCTGTAGCAGAGGGCTTACTGCTCCGGTTCTCTAACCTGAAGTGGTAAGGGTGATTGTAGGCTTCCTTGCAGACACAGTTTGACTGCTGTGTTGCTCACTGGGCAGAAGGGAAACATTTGAGCACAATGACAGGTTAGTCATGGAATTATCAGAGATTGTCTTTTGAATACAGGTGCTCTGGAAGGGCAGCCGGTACTCTTAACTATTGAGCCATCTCTCCAGCCTGAGATATGTTTTTTTGGGGGTGGAGGATGGTGGTCAAGACAGGGTTTCTCTGTGTAGCCTGACTGGCTTGGATTTGCTCTGTAGATCAGACTGGCCCGGAACTCACAGCAATCCGCCTGCCTCTGCCTCCCTGAGCACTGGGATTAAAGGTGTATGCCACCGCGCTTTTATAGTTTTTTGATTTTTTTTCTGTATGAAATGCTGGATCTCTACACACATTAATTGTTTTCAGAGCTGATTTTGAGTCGTAAGCTACAAGGGATTGCCCGTTTTTCAGAATAAAGTGCACAAGCCTTTCTTTCATGGTAGCGATGCCTCTTGATGTACTATATCATTACTTTTAACATTTTTCTTTCAAGCACCAGGGTGACTCAAGGACAAAAGGAATTTCTTGGAAGGCTTTTGGGGAGTTCTCAGCACTGCTTTAAGGCTGGGAGAAACCCGGACCTGAAGATTGACAGGAACCAAGTCAGAACTGTTGTGCAGTGGTTGGGCTGTAGTCCGGCAGTGTCCCTCAGTTGCACATTTCACCAGCACCGGGGGCACGGGAACCTGCTGCTGCTCTTTGGGAAACTAACTGTTGCGGGAGACTTGTTCTCTTTCATGAATTAGCTGAGCTCAGGCCACTGCTTGTACCTTAACTGACTTAGAAAAGTCAGTTTTTGAGAAGGTTTTGTTCTTCTTGGCTAAAAGTAGGAGGGCAGCCTGACATGAATCCAAACGTGCATCCTTCATTCTGGTTAATAGATACTTTGCTTCTTCATTCTTTACGCAGAACAGTTGCTTTATGCCTACTTTGGGTTGCCAGTGCTATCTGTAAAGCAGAATTCGCTTGCGTTATAGCAGGCTCTTCAGGAACACACTCATTTCTGTGGTCGGAGGGTTCTCAGCTGCCTGCTTGGGAATCATTGCGGCCTGAAGATCTCGTTAGGGAAACGCTGGTACGTCCTTAATGAGGTTTGCTTTCACTACTGAGTATCACTTTTCACAGGATAAGTTTTCATGTTCTTTTCCTGGCATGTGATATTTGTTTATTTATTTTTTTATCCACTGTCACTTGTAGCAAGAAGAAGCTGCTGCATTGTTGAGTTTTTGTGGTCCTCATGCTGAGCACACATAGCTCTCATTTTGTAATGAGAGTCTGGAAGGATTATTTTGTAAACTGTTCTTGTTTGTTTGTTTTTTTGGGGGCAGAGTCTCTATAGCACTGGTTGTCTTGGAAATCACTATGAAGACCAGGCTGGCCTTGAACTCACAGAGATGGACTGTCTGCTGCAGTTAAAGGTTTGTGTCACCGTGCTCAGCATACAGTTAGCTTGCCTTAGTTTGTCTGTCTGTCTGTCTTTCTTCATTCGTTCTTTTTTGAGACAGGGTCTATTTGCTCTGGCTATCCTGGAACTCACTATGTAGGTTGGGCTGGCCTCAAACTCAGCGAGATCTTTCTGTGTCTGCCCCCCAAACTGTTGGGATTAAAGGCGTGCGCCACCACAGCCTTTCTGTCTTACATTGGAATTATTACAGGATAACTTAATAGAACATGGACTTCATAACATTTGGGAGGAGATGAAAATAGAACAAGAGAACAGATATTATAATTACTTCATAAGTGTTTAGAAATGATTGTAATAAGGTTCTACTTGCTTTGCTTTACATTTGATTAGTGCTTTGATTAGCACACATTTAAGTATTTATTTGTCATTTGTCTGTTTATTTGTAGCTAAAGATGAATGACCTTGAACTTCTGATCTTGCTTCTAACTCCCAAGTGCTGGAATTATAGGCACGTACTAGCATGTCTGGCTTCTTTTTTTCTTTTCTTTCTTTTTTTTTTTTTTTTTTTCATTTTCTTAATGGAGAAACTTGAATTTGCTTTCTGGTGTCTCTTGTTCTCCTTAAGGAATGACTTCTGTTTTTTCATGTAGAGAGTGGTAAAGACAATGGAGAGGCCACAGATATAGCTCTGAGGTAGAGTGATTGCCTAGCAACTTGAAAAGAAAAAGATGAAATTGTGACTTGCAATCATGTGTATTGTTTTTCTCTGCTATTGTACTCATTTTTAGTTTGCTGCTAATACAAAAGATAGATTGTAAAATGAGTGTTGCTTACTTTCAGCTTATTTTGGTTAAATGCAGCTTGTGAAATTTCACTTTGGGGTCTGGAGAAATAATGACTTGAAGTTTAAGAGCACTTCCTGCTCATTCAGAGGACCCAGGTTTGATCCCCAGCATCTATGTCATGCGCCTCACAACCACTTGTAATTCCATCTCCAGGGGATTCGATTCTTTCTCCTGTTCTGTGCAGGTATCTGTTGACACATGCATATATACACATAGATACACGTGAATGAAAATTTAAAAATCTTCAGATTGCTTCACTATAATCATTTTGTTTTTATATATATTTTTAAGATTTATTTTTTATTCCAGAGGAGGGTACCAGATCTCATTATAGATGGTTGTGATCCACCATGTGGTTGCTGGGAATTGAACTCAGGACCTCTGGAAGAGCAGCAAGTGCTCTTAACCGCTGGTCCATCTCTCCAGCCCTTTGTAGGTCTTTTAACAATGGTACTGTCTAACCTCCCCCCCCCCCCCCCCCACACACACACACACAGGGTTTCTCTGTGTAGCTTTGGCTGTGCTGGACTTGCTTTGTAGACCAGCCTGGCCTGAAACTCATAGAGATCCATCTGCCTCTGCCTCTCTGAGTGCTGGGATTAAAGGCGTGTGCCACCATGTACCACAAGTAAGATAGTCTGACCTTTCTACTTTAGCTTACAAGGTACAGAGCAGATGGTAATTGTTGTAAAAGGACGGTATTTTGGGGTAGTTCAGAAAGGACCTGCAGTATACCGTCTGTGGACAAACTCTTACCAGTAGTTCCTTCTGTAGGTCAGAGAGCATTTCATGTGTCACTAAGGGTCTGGGCTTTGTGCCTCTCAGGAGGGAAGAAGATGGCTTGGAAGTGGGAAGGCCTTCCTTCGGCCTGTGTGGATTGGGGAAAGACGTGAGCAAATGTCTGGGGAACGCAACATGGGAGTTGCATGCTCTGCGTGGTGGTGTCTGGCCAACCGTCTGCGGTTCTGGGAGGGTTAGATGGACTGAGGGACAGGTGATATTAGTATAGCTTGGGTCTTTGTCTCTATTCCTTTTTCTCTTTGTTTGGGATCTCTTCTTCTTTCTGTAGTGCTGGGGATAGAACCCGGGGCTTTGCACATGCCAGGCGAGGATTCTACTGCCAAGCTGCACCCCCAGCCCTGCGATTTAGAATCATGGGAAGAGATAACTGTGTTGGCTGTAGCCCACCGATGACAGAAGGAAGTGGCTGCATAGGAAGCGAAATGCTGTCCGTGAGGTGGAGGGAGGAGGTCAGCGACTGAGTGAAGAGTGGGTGTCATGACAAAGGACAGTGTAGGACTGCGGACACCAGGGATGGGAGCAGAAGGCTGCGAAGGCCCCAGTCCGG